ACTACTACTACTACTATTACTACTACTACTAATTATACTACTCCTACTACTACTACCACTACTACTACCACTACTACTACCACTACTACTACTACTACTACTACTACTACGACTACTACTACTACTACTACTACTACTACTACAACTACTACTACTACTACTACTACTACTACTACTACTACTACTACTACTACTGCGCCCGTACATCCGAGTTGCCTTGCCTGAAAAAGATGTGTCGTCCACCCGAATTTCCGAACTTGAATTAATCGCTACGCTCATTCCGCCGGCCCTGGAGCGCTATTTGGGGCCTCTTGGGGACGTCTTGGGGGCTTTTTGGGAACGTCTTGGGGCTCCTTGGCGGCGTATTGGGCCCCCCTGGGGCCTCTTGGAGGGCTCTTGGGAGCCCCTTGGGGTGGGCGGGGGGGCAGTCGATGGCAGCCCCTCCCCTCGGAGGCCATGGCCCTCGTGAGGGGCGGCGAAAAATAGCCTCCCACCTGGGGATCGCCCGGGGGTCAGCCGGGGATCGGCCGGGGTACTTTTCGTCCGGGGCCCCCCAGGGGCCGCCCCGCGCGCGCGAACTAGAAATATTGTTAAGCAGTTGCCGGAGATCTTAGCACGCCTCTGGCCCGTTGGGCCGGCGAATTTACGCGGAGTTTTCATTATCGGGGGCACAGGGCCAAGCCACTTGAGCTGAAGCGGGATATTCTCTGAGGCGACGGGCCAGCGGGCATGGTGACAGATTGTCCTCGGTCGCACGATGTCGACGAGAAGCGCGGGGTCCATCAAGGATTTGCCTACCGTCCGCTTCCGTGCCGGCGGCGGAGTGTGCTTTGGATATATGCCTCACCCCCCCCTTCTTCGCTCTCTCCCGCAATGTCCCTCCTTCGCCGACTCACCCACCGTCTCCTTCCCCTTTCTTCCCCCGTCCCCTTGTCTCTCTCTCGTTCTCTCTCTGTCTTTCTCTCTCTCTCTCTCTCTCTTTTCCCAGATTCAAGTCCGGCTATCCAGTCACACTTTCGGACCTGCGTGCCAGCGGGTCAAAACTGATTCCGTCCGTGGCGGACGGGACGTGGCTGCTTTCCCTCCGCGTGTACAGTGCGGCGTGCAAACACAGCCTCCGCAGGCGTATAGATGCTGCCCCCACAAGCGCACAGACTAGCGCACAGACTCAACCCCCGAGCCTGCACATGTAGCCCTTCCAAATCTATAATCACAGCCCCCACGAGCTTACCAGCACAGCCCCCCGAACGTACAGCACGGCCCCCCGAACTTGCAAGCACGGGCCCCCTCCCCCCCCAAGGGTGCGACATCTGTTCCCGAACGTACAACCACAGCTCTTCGAGCGCACGAACACATCCCCCCAGCGCGCAAGCACAACCCCGCAGCATACAATCGCAGCCCCCCCGAGCGTACAAACCCAACCCCCCGAGCGTACAACACACAGCCCCCGCCGAGTGTGTAATCCAGCCCCCCGAGTTTAAGCAAGACCCCCCGCGAGGGGCAATGCAAGCAGTACTCCTTGTGGGAAACAGTGCTGTACACTACTTTTTGCGGGAGGCGATGCAAGGCCGAATTCCGTGCTCGAGGCAATGCTGTGCAAGACTTCGTGTGGGAGGCGATACAAGACAATACTACCTGCAGGAAGCAATGCGGTGCAAGACCCTTTACATTTAACGCTCACGCGTGCGTGCGGCCCAGACGCGGATAATTCAGTGCGTGTGCATGTCCCAGATGCCGTAGTCCAACACCATCACCCAGACATTTTGGCGCAGGCGCCATAGCCCCCCAGGAGACAATTTGTGCACATCAACCCAGGCATTACCACCTCAACCCAGACACCAAGACACCGCAGCCGAGACAGCACTGTCCAGACAGCACAGCTGGTGCCGTGGCACCATAGCCCATAGCCTAAACACCGTACCCAGATATCAGGACCCGTGCACAACCAAAGACCAGACGGTAGGCAGATTCAAGGCACGATGGCTTGAGCCACCGCAGTTATAACAACGCAGTTTGGACACCGCAGCCCTGGCACCATTGCCCAGAAAGCATAACCCAGGCCCGAGGATGCCCAAACAACGTAGCGCAGAATTCGCAACCGAAGCAACAGAGGCCAGGCGCCGTGGCCCAACACCAAATCCCGAACCCAAGCAATATAGCCCAGACGCCAGAGCCCAGACATAGCTAAACCATTATAGCCCAGGCAGCACAGCCCAGACACCATGGGCCAGACACAACCAGGGTATCATGGCCCGTACACCAAATCCCAGGCAACGCAGTCCAGACACCATAACCCAGCCACCATAACCTGAATAGCATAGCCTAGACACCAGAGCCCAACACAAATCCAACCGCTTTGGCCCAGACACCACAGCCAGCACACCACGGCCCAGGGACCAGAACCGAGGCACCATAGCTCAGCCACCACTGCGCAGGGTCCACGGCCCAGGCACCACAGCCCAGGCACCTCGGTCCAGGCACCACAGCGCAGATTCAAACAGGAAACCATAGCACAGGCACAAAGCCAGGAAAGCCGGGCCAGATACCGTACATGCAAGCCGGACCAGACACTTTAGACACCATAGACGCCACAAATATTTCATGTAGACCAGACCAATACCAACGAAGGACTATCCCGGATCCTTGGCAATAGCCAGACCAGACAGCGCAGACACGACATGGGAAACACAGACACCATGGACACCACAGACACCGTGAGGACCGCTGACACCACATGAGGAACACTGACACCACAGTCACGATGGTATGACCAGACCAGGCACCGCAGGCACCACAGATACCGCAGACACCGCAGGCACCACAGACACAGATAACAGACATCATAGACCAGACCCAAACCCATGAGGGAGCATCCCCCATCTGACAAGATCCGACCAGACCAGACACCACAGACGCCACAGACACCAGGGGCAACCGTTGGGGCCTTCGGTGGAGCTGCCAGTGGGGCCACGAAACGCATGAAGTGTAAACGTGTGCCTCAACAGCATGCGGAGGGCACATGCAGTGATGGGAGGAGGGAGGGAGGCAGGGGGATGAGGAATGAGGAGGAGATGCGGGGACACGGGGAATGGGGAGGGGGAGGAGGAAGCCTCTCTCGAGGCCCAGAGGGCTGCAGGGGCTCAAGGGAGGCGGCGGCGGCCACCACAGTCTACACCGCGACCGTGCTGCACCCCAGCCACTGTGGCCAGACGCGCCATAGCCCCTGCATCGGAGCCCTGGCGAAATAGCCATGGCATCATCGCACCCGGAGATCATAACCCAGGCACCAGAACCCATACACAGCCGAGGCACCACAATTCAGGAGTTGTAGCTCGAGCCGCCCCAACCCAGACACCACAGCCACTACTCCGCAGCCCACACACACACACCGTAGCCACACCATATCCTAATCAGCATAGCTCAAGCATTAACGCCCAGGTACCATGGCTCAGGTGTTACAGCACTGACGCCGCAGCCCAGGCGCCGTAACACAGATGCCATGACCAAGGCACCGCCCTCAGCACCAGCATGGCCCAACCATCACAACGCAGATGCGATTGACCTGATACGACCGAAGCCCATGGGCCAGACACCACAGCCCAGGCACCATATTCGGGGCAGCGTAGCCAGGTCCACCATTGTAGCGAAGACGCTGCAGCCCAAGCATTGTAAGGGAGGCATCATAGCCTGGACCCTTGTAGCCTAGGCATCGGAGGCCAGACGCAATCGCCCTGACAACGTCGCCAAGACAACATAGTTTGGGTACCTTCGCCAGGCATTGGAGCCCAGACGCCGCAGCCCAGACACCACAACCCAGGCACCGTGGCCCAGTCAGTTCAGCCCAGACCACAGCTGGTGCCGGCACTCCACATAGTGGCCAGATAAGTTGAAGCGACAACTTGCGCGTGCAAGGGTGCCAGCAGGATACCAAAGAAAAGCCAGACCACCGCAGCCCAGTCACCCCATAAGAATAGCATCCAGGCACCATACGCTGGACATCATCGTCCAGGCACCCGTGGCTCAGGCACCGTAGCCCAGGCCTCGTGGCTCAGGCACCAGGGCTTGGACATCTCCGAGGCACCGCAGGTCCCGTAGCCCCAGCAAGCGCAGACCAGAAGTCGCTGGCCAAACACCATTGAGGAGGGGGAGGAGGAGAAGAGGAGAAGAGGAGAGGAGGAAGAGGAGGAAGACGAGAAGAGGATGGGGCGATCTAGTTCAGCCCGCGGAGGAGGAGGAAGAGGAGGAGGAGGAGGAGGAGGAGGAGGAGGCGGAGGGGGAGGGGGAGGGGGATCAGGAAGGGGAGGAGAAGAGGAGAGGAGGAAGAGGAGAGGGATGAGGAGGAGGGGGCGATCTAGTTCCGCTCGCCGACGGCTCAAAGCGCCCCTCGCCCCGGCCCAGCTCTACGCCACCGGCCACGACATCTTCTGGAACACTGGATGGGCCCTCGCCCTCAGGCGCACCTTCTGGCTTGACACCGCCGGCCCGAAGGCTCGCGCGCGCGCGCCGACACGCGTACCTCGAGAGGTAGCCAGAGGCAGAGGGGGGCAAGCGATAGGTTAGGTTTGTTTGTGCGGGTCCGCCGGTTCTCGGGGCGTTTCTTGCCTCGGGATGCTCTCCAGCTGCCGCTCCTCGCTGAGAGCGTCCCAGAGGTGCCTGGATTGCCCCTAACAGCCGCAGGAGACCCGAGGTATGTCCCGAACGCCGGGCGACGAGGATCATTGGGAGGATACGATAGGCTCAGGGGAGAACGCATCTCCCACTCGCCCATTCATCGCCGGTCGGGTTCTGAACGCCCCACCCCGCCCAGCAGCGTGCGGTGTCGCTATCGAGGACGTATCGCCAATCCATCGGCGACGCATCGACGATTTCAAGTCAATGTTTCCACGCCTGAGCCAGTCCCCTGGTGGTCTCCGGGTCATGACTCGGGCCTCCGGCGGCCGTTCTGTACGATTTTGGCGCCCCCGGAACACCCTAGGCGAGACCAGCGATAGCGACCGTAAACCTCAGACCTCGAACCTCGAAACTTCGTCCCCCGCATGACCCCTCTCTATCCTCGCCCCTCCCCGTCCTTCTCCCCGATCTTCCCCCTCAGGCAAGCGACTGGAAGGCAGGGGGGCTTGGCGCTCGAAGGGCAACAACGAAAAGAACGGTGAGGAGCACAGGCTTTCGGGCTTTCGGATATCCCCGCGTATCCCTTGGGCTCGGCGCTGGGCCCCCCTCCCCACACGCAGCACTTCTCCGGCGCGCGGCGCCCAAGGCGCGGCCCTCCCAACGGTGCGGTGACCAGGAGCCTCCCGCAGGGAGTACTGATTCCCGCAGGGAGTATTGTATTGCATTGTATTGTATTGTCTCCGAGTGTGGTATTGTATTGTCTCCCGCAGGGAGTGATTTTTGTCTCCCGCAGGGGAGAGGGTATTGTATGGTGCCCATGGTGCCTATGGTGTCTCTGCTGCCTGCGGTGCCTACGGTGCCTGTGGTGTTTCTGGTGCCAGGGGTGCTGAGGCGGGGCCCTCCAACAGTGCGGTGACCACACCGTTGGGGTCCTGCGCCAACCAAACAATACCTGATTCAATATCTGCAGGTCGACCGTTTCTGCTTGTTATTTGGAAGGGCGGTGGGGTCGTCTAAGTGTGAGGGAGGGACAAGGATAGCGTCCTAGTTAATCGCGGCCGCGAGCCCATGCAACGCATCGTTGGTTATGTCAGGGGGGCGGCAGACAGCATGAAGGACAGGGATCCTGGAGGAAGCGGGTCCTGTAGTTTTTCCCCATTTCTCCAGCTCCCAGAGCCCTCCCCAGGCCCTGGGACCATCAACAAAACGCTTCGGGCCACTTGAGGCTTGTGGTGTCTGCTTGATGCCTGTAGTGTCGGTGGTGCCTGTGGTGTCTGTGGTGTCTGTGGTGTCTGTGGTGTCTGTGTGGTGCCTGGGGTGCCTGGGGTGCCTGGGGTGCCGTAGTGCCTGCGGTGCCTTGCGGTGCTCGTGGTGCCTGTGGCGTCATTGTGGTGCCTGTGTTGCCTTGCGGTGCCTCTGGTGCCTCTGATGTCTTGCGGTGCCTGTGGCGTCTTGCGATGCCTGTGGTGCCTCTGGTGTCGTGCGGTGCCTGCGGTGCATTCCGGTGCCTGTGGTGCACTGCGGGGACCCGTTTCTAGAGGCCCCTTTGTTCCTCAATGCCGACAGGTTGGCGAAAGGGGTATTGACCCAGGGAGGGGATATCGGCGGCCCATTGCTCACACATCGCCGGTCGCCGATGTGGGTATGGTGCCCCCCCCGCCCAGCAACGTGCGGTTTCGCCATGAAACATTGGCTATGTATCTTCGATCTCAGCCCTCCTTCATTGTTGGTTCTGGCACGGTCCATGTGGTAAGTAGTGCGACACGAGCTTGTTGTCGGATCGGGTCTCCACTCTGGGTGGGCAAGAGGTAGTCTTGATAGCATCCCCTTCACCAGGCCTTCAAGTGCGGCCCCCGCGCCCAGCCGAAGGCTGTCCGCGCCGGCTCCGTAGCAAAGCCTCTGGCTCAAGTCTGGCCCGGACCGCTCTGCCGCCCTCCCTGGGGACGCGCCTTGCGTGCGGTAGGCTCCTGTCGTGTCGACGCGGCGGCGACCCCAGCGCGGGCGCTCAAGGCTGCATGCCGCCAGTGGCCCAGAGTCAGTCGATATGGAAAGATATGGCCATCGAAGATCCACCAATCGCTCAGTGTTGCGCAATCCACGCGGCGTCAGAAACCAAAACGCCAGGGTCGTCGTCGCGGTCACCCCGAGGGGCGCGAAGAGACACCTGCGCGTCGCGCGGCCAGAGCCACTGGGCCTTCCTTCCCCAGAGATCAGCGCGAAGGCACGAAGGTGGCCGCGCGTCGTGCATCGCTGGGCGCGTTGCGCGAAGCTCGGTGACCCAGGTCATGACACTGGAGGCCTCCCAGATGGGGTCGGAGTAGAAGGGGTCGGAGGATCGCGCCGCATCGCCCGTGCGTCGTCGATGCGGCTCGATGTGGAGCCCGCTGTTCTCCACGCCGGCGTCGCCGGTGAATCGCCGACATTGCCGATACATCGCCGATGCATCGGCGATGCGCCGCGATCCTCTGACCCCCTCTACTCCGACACCTTTTGGCAGGCCTCTGGCGTATAGGCGACATCCTGGGCCAGGGACGCCTCCCTCCTCCTCCTCCTCCTCCTCCTCCTCCTCCTCCTCCTCCTCCTCCTCGTCTTTCTCGTCCTCCTCCTCCTCTTTCTGGTCCTCCTCCTCCTCTTTCTCGTCCTCCTCCTCCTCCTCCTCCTCCACCTCCTCCTCTTCCTCCTCCTCGTCCTCGTCCTCGAACCACCCCGCTACTCCGACCCCATCGGGGAGGCCTCTAGACTCGAGCCTGCCGTGCTTGACCTCGGGCGGAGATGGCGGCGGCCGCGGCCCCCTCGGCGGGGCCAGGCGCGCCTCTCCGCGCAGAAGCGCCCCACACTGCCCGCGCGCGCGGCCTGCCTGTCCGCTCGGGCGTTGCCGGAGCTGTCCCCAGGATTCCCGAGGAGGCCCATTGAGGAGGAGGAGAGAGAGGAGGAGGAGGAGGAGGAGGAGGAGGAGGAGGAGGAGAGGAGGAGGAGGAGGGAGGAGGAGGAGGAGGAGGAGGAGGAGGAGGAGGAGGAGGAGGAGGAGGAGGAGGAGGAGGAGGAGGAGGAGGAGGAGGAGGAGGAGGAGGAGGAGGAGGAGGAGGAGGAGGAGGAGGAGGAGAGGAGGAGGAGGAGGAGGGAGGAGGAGGAGAGAGAGAGGAGGAGAGGAGGAGGAGAGAGGAGGAGGGAGGAGGAGGAGGAGGAGGAGGAGAGGAGGAGGAGGAGGAGGAGGAGGAGAGGAGGAGGAGGAGGAGGAGGAGGAGGAGGAGGAGGAGGAGGAGGAGGAGGAGGAGGAGGAGGAGGAGGAGGAGGAGGAGGGAGGAGGAGGGAGGGAGGAGGAGAGGAGGCACCTCTCACGAGGCCCGGCGGGCCCGAGGGGTCCCCAGGATTCCCGAGGAGGCCTATTTGGCAGCCGGGGCACCTCGCCACGAGGCGGGCGGGAGGGCCCCATGGGCTCCAGAGAGGCACGAGGAGCCAGGGACACCCTGGGCCATGTCTCGGACCCCGATCCTCGGGCATCGCCCCCTCGATTCAGGGTCCCGCGCACGACGCCCTGGCCGGTTGTCCTGGTGCATGGTGTTCTCGTCCTGTTTCTCATGTCCTCAGCGGCGCGCACCGAGGGGCGACCATAGGGGCGTCGGGCTTGCTTCGCGCTGCGAAGGCCGCGCACCAAAAGGCCACTGCTGCGAGCCTGGGCCAGTGAGGAGGAGGAGGACTTGAGGTAATACAGCGGAGGCCCATGCCAAGAAACACCCTGCTTGCCTCAAGGGTGCCCTGGATCTCTTGGGTTTCGATGGTTTTGCTATGGAAAGCGTGACGTTCCTACACCAAAAAAACAATGGGCGTTCTGGGGCCTCAGGGTTTGGTTTCTTGTTGAAGGTTTCTTGTGGATTTGCGGGTATAAACTTTGCAGCCGCCCAGGGGCAGGCGTCTTCGACGGCGGAAAAGTGTCACGTTATACCGCTCTTCGCCCCCTAAAGCACTGGGCGCCGTGGAACAGGCCCTTCGGCCCCAGAAGCGGAGGAGGAGCGAGGGAGGAGCGCGGAGGAGCGAGTGCAGGCGACACCCTGGTGGAGGAGCGAGGAGGAGCAGGGAGGGGCGAGGAGGGGCGAGGAGGGGCGAGGAGGGGCGAGGAGGAGCGAGGAGGAGCGAGGAGGAGGAGGAGCGAGGACCAGGAGGGACCGCTTCTGGCGACGCCCGGGTCTCCGCGGCCTGCCCGCGGCCTGCCCGCGGCGAGCCAAGGCGCCACGGGCCGCGCCCCGTGCGGCCGGGGCCGCCTGCCGCGCGGCGTTGTGGGCCGCGGCGGGGGCGGGCGCGAGGCGGAGCAGGAGGCCCGACTGCGCTCTCAAGTCGGGCAGGTCCCTCTGCAGTCTGGTTCACCCAAGAGGGGATCCAGCGAAGGGGGGGTGGGGCAGTAGATTAGGTGCAATAGATTTTGTGGGGTGGCAACAGATTTGGGGTGTGCAAGACATTCCGGGGCGCGAATGCATTGATGGAGATTTGCGTGCAATGCATTAGTTGCAATACAGTGCAAAACAATTCTCTTGCGCAATACATGTGCAGTACAAGTGCCCCAAATATGTCGAAGCACCCCCTTTCAGCTGAACCCCTTTCTGGGTCACGATGATACAGAAGGAATTGTTACTCAAGAGCGGTCAAACATTGTCGGGGGACGATGATATCATGATTTGACAACTTTTGAACATTTCTTGAATATATTCTATTTGTTTTCCAAAACCCGCCTGCAGGAAGACATGCCCGACCTACGACTACGCGTAAGAGTGGCCGTTCGCCAGACCCAGACATCGGGCGTCTCGAAGAACATCGGGACGCAGGATCTTCCTCGCTTTCCGCCCTGGACGGGGCCCTCACCGGGCCTCGGGACCGTCAACAGAA